CCCCCCCCCCCCCCCCCCCCCCCCCCCCCCCCCCCCCAGTGCTCTTGATGCCCTGACTCTGGGATAGTTGCTTTCAAATCGACTATATAATGCCCAAGAATTAAAATTTTAGTTGTTAAAGGGTATACACTTCTATTTCTGGCCATACATGATATTTTTAGGTAGATAACTACCTAAAAATAAATCACACGTCTTGTCCTGCATATGTGACTGCTATTTTGGCTTACAAACTGATTATTAGCCCATGTTACATTTTGGCACTAAGTGTAGGTGTTTCTAATTTTACTTACAGCTTTCTTGGAACTCCTTTTAATTTTACATATGTCAATTTTAAAAAAAAAATTGTACAGATGATTCCAGATTTGATTCTGCTTTAACCTCTTAATACATAGTGTACTGAGTTCTTAGAAATACGGCGGGGTATATTTTACTAGTAAGGGCTGTAATCTAGATTTGGCTCACAATTCTCAACTTGGGAATGGGTTATTCCAGGAAAGAAAAGTAACACCACACCGTAGCTTAGTTACAAAATCAAAACTCCCCTAGTTATGAGAACATTGTCTGGTCTGATTCAAGAAACTGACGTGACAGACGATGAGATCTTAAATTATGCTTAATGAAGGTCATGTGCTTGTAATTACATCCATTTATGTGTTATTTAATTTCAAGGTGATTTTGGATTTTGTAATAAAATCAATCAAAAAAAATTGTTGTCTCACTCTAAATTAAGCATTTTCAAATGATTTGGTAAGGAAAATTTTGGCCAAAATTTAGTTTTGGGAAACAGTGAGTCAAATTTGTGTGGATTTATAAAGAAAAAAAAAAACATATCCTTTTGTGTAAGTATAAACATTATACCTTGCTACTGGCTTTCCAACAATACAGATAAATAGAACTTTTTAAATGATTTGAAATGTGAATAATATTTTTTTTAAATTCAAGACGTAACTGCACATGGCTGTGGTAATGTATATGGCAGCACATTAGTTTCTAATAGAAAAAGACAACACATATTTTTGATTTTGTGTGTTTGTTTCATTAAGTTTGGTGTACTAGTTAAGTTTGGTTTATTTATTGAGTAGTGGCAGATTTAGAGGGGGGTCAGGGGGGTCCTGTCCCCCCCCCCTCGGTTTCTGAAAAATAGATCACACCAATATTCCCCTCTTGAAATTAGAATTTTGACTAGCTAGATTATAGTTCTAAACTGTACCAAAGAGCACTGTTTCTGTTTGCTCTCTGAAACACCAAAAGTTGAGCAGGCCCCAAACTCCACACCAAGGGGGTGATTGTCAGATTCGCATCCGAGGCCTGTCGTTCGTGACCCCGCCCTTCAAATAATCTTGGTTCCGCCCCTGTTAAGCTCAGTTAAACTATGAAGTCATAGGGTAGAAACAGGGGCCATCCCAAGGGCACCTGCTTTGAAAATTAATTAAACAATCGATTAATAACTTACTAATTATATTTGTCAGACTCTCCTGAACCGTGATGTGTTGGCCAACAACCGAGGTTTGCTCCAGCTGATCTACGGCTTCATGCAGCCAGGACTGTGGGAGAAAGGGAAGAGTGAGATGGCCAGAAAGGTGAGGGTCTCATATCTATAACTGAACATTTCATGTACTGGAAGGGCTGTGGGAAGAGTGACAGAACCTAGCCAGAAAGGTGTGGAGGAGGGTGGTGAGGGGGTCGTGGGAGAGGAGAGG